CGACAGTGTTGTCTCAATCGGCCCAACTTTCGGCCCCCGCTTCCGGCCCCCCTTTTGGACATTTCTGGATCCGCCCCTGTAAATGGCCCCCCGCACGTACATGGTAATTATCACATACGTACGTGATAATAAACGTAATAGTGATAGTAATACGTGATAGTAATACGTACGTACGTATTATTAATACGTACGTACGTATTACTATTACGTACGTACATGGTAATTATCACGTACGTACGTGATAATAATAGGTACGTATGTGATAATTTTTTTTTTTTTTTCATCATGTCTTCTCTGGGTCTTCGTACAAAATACTTAATGCTACCGGGACTTGTTCATTTCAAAATCTGGATGTAAATGTTTTACAAAATTATCTTTTCATTGTTCATTGTTTTGTTATATGTAATGGTGTTGAATTATGCTCAAATAAATTTGAATTGAATTAAATTGATAATACAGTATTATTAAAATTTACAGTACTGTAGTATTGGCCTATTTTTACTGCTTTCAGGTTTGTAAAGCTACCGCCTGAGGATTTCAAAAGTAGAAGAGCGGTGGAAGTAAAGTAAAAATGTAAAGTTATTCTTTGTATTTTAGTTCAGTGGTTTATTACTATGTGTAGACAGACTTCATGTAATTATGACTAGTTTCTTCAGTATACTTTTAATAATAGGAGAGTCCCCTCATCACCATCTTCATATACAAATTTTATTACATCACTAGTCATAGATGTGTTATCCATCATAACATCATACTTATATTGGGCCTATTATCAGATCAACATCTTATTAGTTTATACTGTGTGTAGGCCTAATCATCAACCAATTATTTTTTATTATTATCATCATCCTCATTATTACTATAATTACAGGTATTACTTTTATATTTTATTATTGTTTTTTGATATCATCATTATATTAGATATGAAATATTTGTATTGCATTAACAATAATTTCTGATTATAAGCTTTCAAAGTACAGTATTGTATACAGTACCTGTATTTATAAAAACAAATTATGTCAACAAAATACAAAATACACTTTAAAAATCATATATAGTATTAATTCATTACATTTTAATACCCATAAACTATAGATTTATTCCAATACATTTTCTATAAACATTAGCAAAATATGAATTAATTAAAGGAGCAGTAAAACAATGGCTAATCAAACTACAGGATTTTAAATGATAAATAATTTTATGATTTCCATTTCTGGATGTAAAATAAACCTTGTGCCCGGTTCTATCAAAGCAAGCTCAGGTCGAAACAAAACTGCAAGGAACTCAACTTGACTCATGTCATTTCCTTTCACTTGAGCATATATCAACGCGTTCAGTTCCGTGTCCATCTCAGCCTGCCTTTATGCAATGGCAAATTAATCTCAAAACCTGAACCAATCCAGCCAGTATCTATAATTACACATATACACATACAGTGCCTTGTGGATCACAGATCCTCTAGACGCTTTAAATTAAGCCCAATATATATACAGTACTGTATATAATTATTCATGGTGCCTTGGGGATCATAGAACCCCTCTAGAAGTCTCTTGGTGCTTTATATTTAGCCCTTACTATGGTGGAATACTATCCACGCCAGACACCAACCTAAGTAAGTTGTGAACTGGTACCATAAACGTAATTAGCATAAAGTTCCAATCACACTATACTTTTTTATGTTACACATACCTGTACCTGATTTTCCCATTTATAGGTGTAAAATGACATCATTATCCCCATATATGAGGTGATATTACACCATCATGCTCATATTTTTTTTTACTTTGAATTAAAGGACTCAGCTTATCATGCAACATCCCTCTTGTAACATCTAAGAAAACTGTTACATATCGGTGAAATTTAAGATAGTGGCCAGACCAGCTCTTCTTAAGCCCAGACTTTAAATAATTTATTGACAAAGCTCAAACAGCTTCTAGTGTAAACAGAACATGAGGTTTATATTACTTATATGGATATTTTTGCACTTGTAGCTGGTGGGTAGATCCATATAACATGGATGTTTACCCCCTTCCCAACCCATGCACACACATAAATACACTCCAGCCCAACCACCCACACCCACAAACAGACCTGAAACAGACCTGAATCAAACCTGAAAGTAACTGTGGTACCCTCTCATAATTTTACATACTTTCTATAAAACAGTACTGTTATGTGGAATAAAGTGATAAACTGAATGATATTTGATCAAAATGGACTTTTACACTATAAATATTTAAAGAAATAATTTATTACACTCGCCAACTACAGGATGGACCAATGTGATACATTATAAACGAAGTAGTATGAGGGGCACCCCCTTGCCCTATCCCTATCCTTCAACACTAGATGTTCTGTAATATGTATGACATTTCAACATATTAAATATTTTGTAATATGTACACATATTAAATGTGCCTAAATGTTATTCTGAATGTGTCTAGTTTTAAAGAAAGTGTGCTCCAGAGACAAGAATCTTAAAAATATCAAAATCATGATGAAAAAAAAAATAGTCATTACATCAACATATTATACCATAAAAAAGAAATACTCTTTAACTCTACAATTATTCAACAGGTTACAACTTATTATAGTAAATATTATTTTACTAAAACTACTATCTCATAAAAATACTTTTTTCTAAAATTGATCTACTGTATAATAAAAAAATAAATAAAAGTTTTATAAAAAGCATTTGCATTTCATTAGTTGACTAGCCAGTTGAATCACCAATCATTTAAAAACTTTTTCAAACACTTGGCTCTATAAAGATGTAGTATTTATGAGCCAATTGGTCCAACCTCTTGTATAATAAACAGCCAAATTTTCCAACTCTTCTACTCCATTGCTTTAGTCTCTGTTAATTATTAGTCGTTCTCCCAATTCCCTTTTACCCCTTCACCTAGGGTCTCTAAATCATTGGTCACTTCACATAACCCCTTTGGCTTAAGTGTCTTTCTTAATCACCCAATCACTTTTCCCTTCCCAGCCCCTTTGTTTTTGGATCGACCATTCCAACCTTCTTCAACCTCTTGACTTTAAGGTTTCTTTTATCCAATCACTACTCCCAGCCCTCCACAACCCCTTGGATTTATGGTCACTGTTAATCTCTTACATCAGTTACTGTAGCAATTCCTTTTATTTTAGCATTCTAGAGGTCAGTAATGTGGACGGTAACTTGCAGTCATTAGTCATCTAAATTCACTTCTTTTATGATTTCTCTCATGAGCACAGCTAGTTTGTTCTTGTCTAATTTATCTCCAAATTCCTCTCCTGGAAATCGAAAACAAAATGAATTAACATTAACTCCACAAATATTAGTTTAAAAGCAACACCCGGGCTTGGTATTCTTGCTGCTCAATGCCAGGGAATATGGCTTCAATCCTACGGAATGGCAGGATTTCTAAACTAGTCAATTTCACATCCTAAGGCATAGGAAGGCATGATCATGCAAATTACCAGATCCCTGACTACTGCCACAACGATGTTGCTCCATATGGATTGCAGTGTAAGCTACCAAGCCACCATAGTGTTGCTGCTCCTATGTGGATTGTATCATATCTATTCCCACCATCCCCTCTAACCACCACACTCTGTAGTGGCAACCTATATTTGAAGGTTTAGTAAGTGATTTATAAATTTATCAGTTATAAAGATTAGATTACATGGATCATAAAAAAAACGACTTGATTACATGGATAATTTTCGGTAATAAATTGCATTTCAAGCCCCATCTTAATTTCTCCAATATTGGTCTAGGCAATGTTTTTAAAGATATTTACAGTTGGAGTAAATTCAACATGGTCAGGTAATGCATTCCATTCACTGATGATTCTTTGTGTGAAGAAGAATTTTCTGCAGAGGCTCTTATATAGTTGAGGCTTAAAGGCTGAAAGCGTGTCTCTAAGTTTGTTGACTTCTTTTGTGTGCTTGTTGTGTCTTAAGCAAGTTTTGACTATTACTCCTTCAATTTTAAAGATTTCTATGACGTCACCTCTAAGTCCTCCTATATTTTAAAATCAAGGCTACTTAGTCTATCGCTGTAAAGATGATCTTAATTCCAGGAATCATTTTGATTGCACATCTCTGTACTTTTTCTAAAATATCAATGTCCTTCTGAAAAAATGGGTTCCACAGGGGCGGATTTGGGGGGAGGGGCAGCCTGGCCCCGGCCCCCCTTTTTGGGAGGTCAAAAAAGAAAAAAGAAAGAAAAAAAAGAGAGAAAAAGAAAAAAATGATAGCCCAGAATGCCTCAAATGTTATGTTCGGGCGTCTAGAACACAAACATTTCGCGGGGGCATGTGTTGTCTCAATCGGCCCAACTTTCGGCCCCCCCTTCCGGCCCCCATTTTGGACATTTCTGGATCCGCCCCTGGGTTCCAGACCTGAATACAATATTCTAAGTGTGGCCTATACATTGGATCAAAACTTGACAATTCACTTCTTTTATGATTTCTCTCATGAGCACAGCTAGTTTGTTCTTGTCTAATTTATCTCCAAATTCCTCTCCTGGAAATCGAAAACAAAATGAATTAACATTAACTCCACAAATATTAGTTTAAAAGCAACACCCGGGCTTGGTATTCTTGCTGCTCAATGCCAGGGAATATGGCTTCAATCCTACGGAATGGCAGGATTTCTAAACTAGTCAATTTCACATCCTAAGGCATAGGAAGGCATGATCATGCAAATTACCAGATCCCTGACTACTGCCACAACGATGTTGCTCCATATGGATTGCAGTGTAAGCTACCAAGCCACCATAGTGTTGCTGCTCCTATGTGGATTGTATCATATCTATTCCCACCACCCCCTCTAACCACCACACTCTGTAGTGGCAACCTATATTTGAAGGTTTAGTAAGTGATTTATAAATTTATCAGTTATAAAGATTAGATTACATGGATCATAAAAAAGAACCACTAATATTTGATTACATGGGTAATTTCGGTAATAAATTGCATTTCAAGCCCCATATCTTAATTTCTCCAATATTGGTCCAGGCAATGTTTTTAAAGATATTTACAGTTGGAGTAAATTCAACGTGGTCAGGTAATGCATTCCATTCACTGATGATTCTTTGTGTGAAAAAGAATTTTCTGCAGAGGCTCTAATATAGCAGGGGCTCTTATATAGTTGAGGCTTAAAGGCTGAAAGCGTGTCTCTAAGTTTGTAGACTTCTTGTGTGTGCTTGTCGTGTCTTAAGCTAGTTTTTACTATTACTCCTTCAATTTTAAAGATTTCTATGAAGTCACCTCTAAGTCCTCCTATATTTTTAGACCAAGGCTACTTAGTCTATCGCTGTAAAGACGATCTTAAATTCCAGAAATCAGTTTGATTGCACATCTCTGTACTTTTTCTAAAATATCAATGTCCTTCTGAAAAAATGGGTTCCAGACCTGAATACAATATTCTAAGTGTGGCCTATACATTAGATCAAAACTTGACCTGTCTACCTATTGAATGTTCTTACGGTATATGTTATAATTATGATTCTTACCATTCCAATTCAAATGATGCAGGCCATTTTGTAGGTCTTTACTACCTGGCAATAATTGGCAGGCTTTCTTGATCATTTGACAAAGATCTTCCTCTCTTGACACTAAATATAAAAGAAATACAGTTTAAGAATACTGATTCGCTGATGAGATCATATATACAGAAAGTCCTATTTTTGAAGTCACCTTTATAGTCTGTTATAAGACTGACTGCAGTATCCAGAATATCACATAATTTCATTGTATTTAAATCGCAAGGGAGAACTAAGTGTAGAAAATTCTTCCGTAGCCTGATAAGAATTTTAAAAAGTAAACTAATTATTGCAGCATGGCTCCTAAAGGCTGCTGGACAAACAAAGCTTTGCAAACATAATAAATCAAATTGATATAAAATAACAAACATTTCAATTAAAACACTGTCTCACCTTTAGGAGGAAGGATGCACTGGGCAATAATATCCCTGAGTTGGCTGAGTACATCATCATTCTTAGATAGTTTAACTGGCGGTTCTTCTATCGACTTATTATCCAATGAACATCCTCTAGAATAACATTAATAGAATTCTTAGAATTAATAAAACACAATGTAGGGTCATTGGGATAATCTACCAGTTAAGACTAGATGTTTATGTTAATTTTATAGCAAATCCCCACCACCTCCCCCTTTATGACACCTGGTCTGTTGGATGTGTAAGCCCCAGCATAAGCACCATACCTGCTTCTAAATCTCTTCCTGACAATCGGGTTGTTAGCCTTGAGGACTGGTTTCAGCATAACTTGTTTCTCAGGGAGTCTCATGTTGGTCAGCTGTTGAGAATGGGCTTGCTTTGCTTCTTCCATCATATTCTGGTTACACAACACAAGAAATGAATTATGAAAATTTCCGAGCTGTTCACAATGTATGCAGTCTCAAAAAACTGTTAAGTTAATTTGCAAACTACATCTTGTCTGAAGGCTTAGACTGGAAAGCACTGACAGGTGTAGAACAAATTTTTTTTTTTGGGATGACAACTACGATGATATTAATAACAAATGAATAAAATCATTAATATTGCATTTTACCTTATCCAGCATGATAGCAGGTGAGTGTAGTTGAGTGTTGGAGTTCCTGGGGTTATTCAACCACGAATGTTGCAAGAACTGGTCTATTGTCATTCTTTCAGTCGGTTCTACCCTCAATAAGCTTTTATAAATAAAACAAAATAAGCAAAAAACAAGTTATTAGCACATATAATAAAAATTATAATACCTGTCCATTATTATTATCAATTATTTAATTAATATTTATCACCCCTATTCAAAGAAGAAAACACACACTTATGAAATCTGATAATCAGTTCTGGCTTACAATGGGCATGGACCAGCCTAACTAGTAAGGTAGGAGCCTGTTGCAGTATTTTAAAATAAAAAAGGAAAGAAATTCAGAGGTTCTACTGGTTTGGTGTAATAGATAAAATTTATTTTTTACTTGGCTACTTAGATACTAGTATCCAAAGTAGGAAATTGAACAATGGAGAGTATTTTTAGCTGCCGAAGTCAGAAGAGTTTCATTCTTAAGGAATATGCTGTACAGTGATGGCACAAGTGGAGGGTCAGGTTTGTCTCCCGCCGGACAAGCATAAACTCAATGATTTTTTTGAGCCATCACTGATGTTATAACATTCAAATAGTTGTTTGTATAAAACAATTAGCAATGAAATGCATCCTCTACATAATGAAATAATTGTAAACAATTTGGGAAGCCTTAGGGTGCATTCGGGCGAGTTTTTTTGTGGAGTCTAAAATGGTATAAATCCGGAAAAGGCCAATTCCAGTTCTTGCCCGAACGGGTGTTAAACGCGGACCGCCTGCTGATATCCGCTGATCATCCAATGCTGCAAATTACAGTGTTTTGGAGGAGCAAATGTAGCATGCATTAGCAGTAGGAGCATTCTTTATCACTTAAATCCCTTTTTGATTGCTCTTTAATTGTTTCAACACGAGCCAGAAGTAAAGTCCGTTTAAATTTTCATGGTTCCTACTTCTTTTACAGTTTAATTCCAAAAACAAAACTGAAAAGCTCGATAAAATAAATAATTTCAATGGAGGGCTAGCCTAGAATCCAGATTGTTACCTTAATACATACGTCTGCTGCATACGTGATCATGGTACCACTGGTTATTTGTTTAACAATGGTAGTAATTTTCTGTTTTCAACTACCATTACCAAACGAATGAAAATTTATTCTGGGTTTATATGCCCAAAATGCACATCTGCGATTCATTGGGAGTTTCCAATGTAGGCGCTATGCTTTATAAAGCTTTTAGCTTCTTCGGTCATTTCATTACACTACTTGACTTTGAGACAACAACATTATGCAGTGTACCAACGCCAATGTCTGTTTCTTGGGGTGACACAAGGGTGCAGGTGAACTTGATAATACTCATCATTTGCATAATACCTTAAGCCTTACGTCAGCCGAGGTTAATGGTTTTTTGAAAGCCGAGTTCTGCACGAACCGGTAGACCCCCCGCGGATACAATACCGGTAAGAACCCTATGTAAATTTTTCCCATTCTCGCCCGAACACACCATTAGACAACTCAAAATTGGAACAAACCGACTAAAACAATTCTTTTCTCTAAAATGCAATCAGTCTCTATAATAGTAATCTCAGTAGGAAAAGTTTTAAATGTACGAATACAAGACAGTACTTTAGTTGCAATTTTATATATACGTTTTCATAGTTTTATTTGGTTTTAAACTCTGTGATGTCCATTTGTTATACCTTTTTAAATATTTATGGATATTATGTAGTTTTAACGCAGTATGTAATATATCTATGATATCTTTTTACATTAATCTTTTTATAGAATGTTTTAATGAATTTTATGTGTGTATTTATACCTCATGAAAACAAAGTTCATTTATTTTTTTATGTGATTGATACAATAAATCTGAATCTGAAATTAATTTATTCAACATACCCCTTGACAGCATCTTTAGCCTCAGCGGAAATGATGGACCATTCCTCTGCTGGAAACTGGTACTGCCCCGCCATGATTCGACATCTCATCTGTTGTGACAAGAGCTGTGATGGTGTCTCGGAGTAAAATGGTGGGTAGCCGCACAGCATGATGTACAATATAACACCTAGCGACCACATGTCACAACTCTGTAAAGGCATACAGATAAAGTATAGTACAGAATAAAACAAAATTTTGCATTTTGCAATACACAAATATCATGAATCCTTAAAATAGGTTCCACAAATACCTAAAAACAGAGGCCCCATGAGTCCCACCAGGGTTCTTCTCCTCCAGCAGACTGGGCCCTAGGAAGAACCAACTAATGCTTGCTTGTTACACTCACAAGAGTTGCCTACACCCTTTCTTATAAAATTGTTGAATCATCCAGTATAGGCTGTTAGGTGATATAACCCCACTGCTATTTAAAAACACTGTACTAAAATTGAGAGCACAGAAATGACAGATCAAACAATACCTTATCATAGGTGTAGGGAGCAACTGACATGATATCCTTCCCATGATTCCTCTGTCTCTGCTGAGCTTCAAGAACCTGTGAATAATCAAATCTATATTAAATTACAACACTGTACTTCAAAGAAATTAAAAAAAAAAACAATGTTCTACAGTAGATAGATAGAACACTTTTTTGCAGGTGACATTACAGTTGTTGCCCTGAATCTCAACAAACACTGAAACAGTTAGAGGTTTGAAACACTTAGTGTTCAAGTCATGTCTTTTGGCAAGACACTTGATGTATATTTGTCTCTATCCACCCATAGGAGTATAAATGGGTTCCTACAGTAATTAATAAGGTGTTGTCGCATTGAAATGAATGTACTAATTTTGTGCCCTGAAAACGTGCAAAACTAGAAACAGGCGTGTAAGTTGGTTTTGGCCTGGGGGGAGGGGGTGGTTTGCGAAAATTAATAATGCGGAACTAAATTCTTATTCCAAAGAAAACTTTTTTTTTTATTTTTTGCATTATAACCCACTTAAATAATTTAAAATAATCTGTGGCCATGCCCCCAACCCTACGCCCATAACAAAATATTACTTAGGGGAGCAGTAAAGATTGAGCTTTGTGCTGATATGCATGTTATCCAATGACCAGAAGTAATGTAATAACACTCTCATGCCTTTGATCATTATTGTTTTGGAATTAGCAACATAAAAATCCATAGTACACTATTACTACACATTTCACTATAAATAAAGATCATGTTCATTCACAAGAGCTTCTGGTCTAAATATCAATGATTCTGTTTCAAACGATCATAAAAAAAAAAAGATAATGCTGTGAGTTTGAGATAATACAATTACCTGAGGCGCCACGTAGTATGGTGTATAATTAGGAGTCATCAAGTTGCCATCATCATATTTTGCAAATCCAAAATATTTTCGCCCTTTTCTGACGCTGTCTCTTATACACATCTAGATGTGTATAAGAGACAGGGACATCACGAATGGTGGTTAGAAAAGATAATCGTCCAGAGAAAATGGCTCATTACAAGAATGCGTGAATATTTACATAACAGCAAAATAGCAGATGCTAGTGGTTAGCTTGTTGGCCATCGGCCGATTGAAATTAGCAGGATGGCAGGATCATTGTATTTTTTCTTGAAAACTAGATAAGAATGTGCTAAAGGTCGGAAAAGTAAAAGAGGAATAGGATCAGGCATAGACAAATATGTAAAAAGAGTAAAGTTGGAAATATACTGTCTGTCCAGGGATCGGAGCTCTCATCTGTCCAAGAGAAATATCCTCATTTTGATATTGACTGAAGAAGAATTTTCCACTCTACAGCTCAAATCATGCCAACAACCACAGGCCCAGGATTGATTGGACTATTGACTTGCTAAAAACAAAATTTTATGAGGGCGTTTATTCAAACACGGCGCTTAAGGAAATTTTCACGTTAGGAGGGGCGGTTATTCGAGAGGGGCGCTTATTCAAATGGGGCGCTTATTCGCGCTAGTACGGTAATGCTGAAAATACCATCTTTGCCCAATATCTGCTAAACTTTCATGCAAAATACGATGAAATAAGATGCAATCAAAGCTCATAAAACCAGATTTTCCGGAAGAGAGTTGAATGGCCGAGCGGTTAAAGCAGGGGTGCCCCAACCTACAGCCATAATATCGATGACAGTTGGAACGGCACGCTCGCATATGGTTCTAGTGGTGGAACAAGTCTTCTCTGATAAGAACTATAATCCGTAGGCCCAGTGTACACAATGGCTCATGTCTTTAGAGATGAGTAGGGAGTTACCCTGGTGTACTGATTCATACAGCCTCTATTGTGAACAGACGAGAGATAGCTGGTACCGGTTTACCGGGTAGCCCAGACACAAAGAGACCAAGGGGAGAAGGCATTTACTGTGTGAGATAGTCCACACCGTGAGCGCTTTTGGTAAAACACTAGTAAAAACATGCAACATCATGAATTTGCGGGAAATGGGTTAGTTCCGCTAGATTTTTGCTTAAAGTACTTGCGCAAGTGGAGAAGACTGCCATTTTCTGGAAGATACCTACAACTCATGCAAGAGACTTGGGGCCCCTGTTCATGGTTAAGTACATCCTAAACTAAGGTTCAATTGACACCCATATTCCAACTTGACTGTTCCTGTTTATATATGAACACTGACCGTTCTTGGTGATCAATATCAATCAATGTATATTAAGATAGTAAATACTTTTTCATTATAAGCATTGTAAACATTTTTAAGGATGTGACTCAGGCCTGATGTGAATGAGGCCTGATGTGAATGAGGCCTGACATAACTTATAGCCTACCTGTGAATTGTCCTTCAACAAAAGGTTCTCTGGCTTCAAATCACGATGTGCTATATTTAGACTGTGACAACGATACACTGCTTTGGCAACCTACAATACAACATATTATAACAAAATATTAAGCCATGAATATTTGTATTTTTTATCCAAAAAAATCCATAGAAAAATCTAATCAAACTGAAACTATTATAGTAGCGGATGTAGGGGTCCCCCTTCACCATGTCACGCCCCATACAAAAAAATCATGCACAAGTAGATAAAAATTACCTCATACAGTATCACCCTATTTTGTGAGCTGTGTTCCATCCCTTAATCATTGAGACCTCACTTTCCCTTCGTGCTCCCACCCCCCCCACCCCATTTCAAGACTCCTACAGTAGATATATAAGCAGTTGCTGAGTACCTGAGTAGCATATTCAACGGCTTTGCTCTCTGTAAATCCTCTCTGCTGTCTGATCCGATCAAACAGTTCTCCACCATCCATTATTTCCAGCACCAACAACAGTCGGCTCTTTGGTTCGTTCTCTCCTGGAAACTGGACATCATTTGCATACACTTCATATAGTGTCACAATGTACTTGCTGCCACTTGCACGACTGTGATGACATACCTCCTGTCGTGAGTTTGGTTTATCAAGAATTATTTTTAAAGCGAAACGCTCTCCGGTGGATTTCTTGACACAAGAGCGAACCGGACCATTTATCCCAGTACCCAATTTCTGCTTCCAGCATACATTGTATTCATCAAGAATAGATGAAACCTATTGAAAAGAAAATGCAATGTACAGTAGGCAACATTATGTATATTTTTAGTGAGATTGTCTACTGATCAGTTGAGCACATTGAGATGCAAGACTTCCTTTTCTTACTTCCATAAGGAAGTGAAAGACAATAGGTGTTTTGTTGTGGAAGTGCTTGAAGGTCATAGAATATATCAACTCTTATACCTATTTCCTTCTTACTATCACTGAACAGAGTGCGTTTGATCAACTATTTTCTGAAGAATATCCACTAAATAATCAAGAAAAATTTCTTGATGTCGTAGATATTTTTTGTTTTTGCATGCCCAGCAACAACCAATTACACCCATCGCAAGAGAAGACCGCCCACTTGTAATGTATGATGTAATAAGTAATATTTTAGCAGCGCGAGTCTTATCTTTGAAACGTGTGAGTCTTCACGCTGTAAATTAACAATCCATTTCAGTTTCAGTTTTTATTGGCTCTCACTTTTTCAACAGTAGCACACACTATACAGTGGTGCGTCTGAATTTACTTAATAATTAAATAACAATAAAAGTGAACAAAAAGTAAACTTGGTAACGAAAAACAGAAAAACATCAGGGAATTAATTAGAAATGCAGTCAATTAAAAATAATTAACATTAAAATCTTAATCAAGATTAATGTCTGGTCTAATTAATTGGAATATTTTGAAGTCTGTGAGTTTTTTGCAATTTGTTTTGTCTTTTATGCTGTTAAAATACTGTAAATGACTGCAAAAAAAAAAATTATTCCGCATCAATATTTACTAAATTTTTAACAGGGTTGGAAGTGATAATCTATCCTAATAATTTTTTCTATGTGCCCTAATCTTGAAAAAAAAACAGGAACTGGTATTGAAGAAGGTGAGAGAGAGAGGGTAAAACTCCTTGCTGGTCGACCACTGCTGCTCTTCCATAAAATTAGTCCCCCGCCCCCACCTCCACTCCCTTAATTTTGTCTAAAGCCCGAAAAACAGAATATGCATGTGCATAGGTAGGCAGTGCTAAGTACCAACAATTGGATAGGCCTAGCGGGCCTAGGCTAGGACTACATAAGTGGGTAGGCCTAGCCTACCAGGCCGCCTCCTTCCTAGGTCTTGGCCTAGCATAGGCTAGGCCTAGACTTTAAATACTACTGAAACGTATCCTACCTTAATTTCTTGATCATTTCTTGACTGCATTTCTAATTATTCGTATTTGGTACATGTTCTATTATTATTAATGTTCAGATCATCAATATTAAATAACCACTAACTAAACAAAATTAGGCCTAAACAATCATGTTTGTTTTCCATTGCAGCTGACGATAAATGAATGAATGCTCGATCATCGGCCTGGAATTGGTGTCTGACGATTAGATTTTCTGTTATATCGCCCTCTACGAAAACGCGGGTCCCTTTGCTTGTTTTGTCAGACCAAGTACAGTACGATCAAGGTTGTTGGTAAGTAGTCGAGCCTGCTATTAGTATTAGGCTCCAGTCCTAGATGATTTTGAAAATGGTGTTTTAGGTCACTTTAATTTGTTTGTGAACGGAAAATTCCTTTCGTAGCGTCATCATCTTCGAGTCATTTCCGGGAGAATACAGAATACAATTTTTAGCCCGGTATGATTGTCATTGTCATTCTTCTGTCTGTACCCGGTATAATACATACCAGTGTACCCTACCATCAAAAAGGCACCAAACAATTTTGCCTGGCTAGCGCGTTGTTAATGTTGTGAATGCATTGTAGGCTACTAACCCTGTGTACTTATTTATTGTGCTTGAAGCAGTTCAGTCGTACTGTAATTGGTTTAATCTAAGGTAATCTTCACTTCATTTTATTTATCTTCAAGAATATAACGTTACTGGTAGCAAGTTTAAAAAGACCCAGTGCTGGGGCGGATGCAGGATTTGCCGGTAGGGGTGGGGTGCAAATATTTGAAGAATTAGTACGGAAATTACACATTTATAATAGTAAAATTCATCATCATCACTATATCATTATATAGTCAAAACGAAGCGCCAACCAGGGGCGGATCCAGAGATGTCAAAAAGGGGGGGGGGCGAAATTTGGGCCGATCGAGACAACAATGTCCTAGGGGTTCGGGGGCATGCCCCCGCGAAATTTTTGTGTTCTAGACGCTCGAAAATAACATTTGAGGCGTTCTGGGCTATCATTTTTTTCTTTTTCTTTCTTTTTTTTCTTTCTTTTTCCTTTTTTTACCTCCCAAAAGGCGGGGCCGGGCCCGGGCCGGCCCCCTAAATCCGCCCCTGCCAACAAATTTTCATGATCTTTTTTTTTATCGGCGATATTCGGCAACCATATACAGATCTAAGTAATGTGGTGGACCATAGAAAATATAACTTGATTTGCATGCCAAGTGAAATTAGTACCCTTATTTTGCTTTGTTTTAAGGTACCGTAATTCTCGGCTAGGCCTACCTTAGCCGATACGCAGTGTGGCTAAGGAAAGTTTTGTTTTTCTGAGCATGTGCAGATTGTGCTTATCTGGCTCATTAGCATAACAATACCACACATAAGGGGAATTCAAGTTAGATGGCTTAAACCAGCCAGCTTCCTATCCTGGTAACAGTTGAAAGTCCTTAATCAAAGGGACTCCAGAGTCCATGGGGTTAAAATAGTTGGTCTATTAAGTAATGTCACCTAAAATAAAGCCTATTTAGTTCTTAGGTTACGGTAATTTAAATTATGTTGGTACAATAAAGTTTCATATGGTTTGGTTAAAGCCCCATTTCCGGCAAAATTTCAGTTGTTAAGAAAAATCTAATTTTTGTATAATGTTATAAAGATTTATAAATATAATACGGAATTGCTACTTTAACTAAATTTTGACATTCCTAAGCATGAAAAAAATGTAAAATAAGACTGAAATTTGATTTTTTGTGTTCCACACAAAAAATAAATACGGATGAGTTTTTCATGTTTGATTTTGCGATAGGTTGTGCGAAGAAATATAGTAGGCTCCGAAAACATTAGCCTATATCCAACAATGCTGGGCTATTCCTAGCCTTACCTCGATTTAGGTTCTGTTATCACACATAAAAAAGGCCGACATGATATTTTCCGTTGCTAGTATTGACACTTGTGAAATATAATATTTCATAGGGATTATTTCAAATTTGTTAAAAAAACTGATTCTGACCAGGATTTTGACATTTAAATAAACCATATCTCAGGCCTACTCGAATGACCGCATTGTGCAAGATGCGAAGTACAAAAACTAATCCCATTAGAGAGGGCGCACTTTATTGACTGTATAAAGTATACATAAAAATGAGAGTACTGTATTCCAGCGGATGCGATCTACAACCTCTGAATTTGCCTAGTAACGAAGAATTTGTTGAGAAAATGGTAATTATGCCAATATTTTTCCATTGTTTATAATAAATAGAGTAATGCATATGCATTTTTTCTAAAAAAAAATTCTTTTTTAGTGAAATTTTGCCGGGAATGGGGCTTTAATTAAATTATGTTGGTTAAATTAAATCAAGTTCACTTGACAACTGATAGTAACATTGAAAAAGTGAAAATGATGAATGTTTTTCAGTGTGAATTACTGTACAATGAGGGTCTCATAGATGTTTATGGGAGGGGTGTGGCAAGATAACAAAGCAGTTCACAAAAAGCGAGTCAATTACAGTGGAACATTTGAGAACCCATCATTATTATTGTTAATAATAACAAAAGATATTGTTTAGTACCAATTTTACAATCTTACGATGTTTAATGGTTTTTGTATTTTTGTGTTTTTAAATGTATTAATGTATTCTCGTGTAATTCAGCGTTTCAGCATTAAAATGCTGCCAGTTGAGATCAAATAAAATTTAAGTTGAATGCTAAAGACACATAATTACTCCTAATTAACACTTGAACACACATAAAATTATATTAACTATATGGAACATCTATCTATAACAATTATTGTGCCATAAATATTTCTGAGAATTGTTCATAGTAGGTCACTGGCAAACAATAAATTCATGTCACAGTGCTTTTTAACCTGTAAACTTCAACCTGGCTAGGGGTTAAAGGTACCTGTACCATACAGAAAACTTTCCTATGAACATACAATACCTCTACGTTTATTCCTTTATTTATTATATTTTGGAGTCAGACCACAAAACAATTACATTGCTAAAAGAGTGAAGATGGCAAGATATTTTTTAAACAAAACCATTTTAATCCTGAAAACGGACATGTTTTGAGTAAGCATGTCTGATCAGCGTAGTAAAATATTTACCACCATTCTACTTAAACATAGACACATTTCATTTAAGTTGGGCAACCTGGTTCCATAATTTCACTAACTTTCTGCAAAATAGAGATAATGACATTAAATTGGATTAGTTAATAATAATAATACTAAATTATTAATTTATATTGCGCAGATTTCATTCAAAAATATGTTTAAATGTGCATTACAAAAAAATAGACAAGAATACACAATTCTTGGTGACCCATGAACTAATTGGCTAAGACTGATGCAAGGGGGATATGCCATTTTTTGGTCAAAAATGTTAAAGAGAAAATATGTCTGTGCTGTGGCAAACATGTTTTTTGTATAACTTTAGACTAGAGTTGTTATCTAATTAGCTAGATTTAGACAATAGTATAAATTGGTGCTTGTTTTATAATATAGATACAGTAGTTCTGAAAGAATTGTTGTTTTTGTTGAAAGATTCTTAACAAAAACAACAGTTCTTTTCAGAACTATCTTGGTGGTGTACCACAAACATTTGTTATTATTCTTGTTACTTCTACTGCAAGTCTTCAAACAATATGTTGTTCAGTTTATTCAATATGTGGAATAAAACAAACTTTCAACATCAAACAAACTGTAAAATATTAGTTATTTATTGAATTATGAAGCTTTTTATCTCTAGTTCCATCTAGATTATAAAATTGTCTTTGACAAAACACTGTTGTAATGTATGCCATATATAGTCATGGTATGCCTATATATAGTCATGGTACAGTATGCCTATATATAGTCATGATATGCTATATATAGTCATGATATGCCTACTGTATGTATGGTGATGACCGACGCTGGTCGCATTGCTCGTGTCCTGGAGCAAGGCACTTTACTTACTGTACATTTGCCTCTCTCCACCCAGGAGCATAAATGGGTACCTGGTAGGAAGATGTGGCATTGCAGGTATTAGTTTGTAGCAGCATTAATGGGAATACTCCCCATAAAGTGGAGGAGGTTGCACTTTCTGCTGGTTTGATTATGGATCCGATGACCAAGGATCGCCAGCGCCTTGTATCCATTGGCAAAAGGCGTGGTATAAATCTCTATATTATTAATATGATGTGATGTCATCATGACCATATTTAGGCATGTCACATGTACATACAATTTGATAGTCTCAATAGGGCTTCATTCATTCATTTATGTTTTTTTTGTATCTTTATTCATAAAAAACAAAATATGTAAAAGACAACGATATCAAATCCCTCGGCCAGTGACTGAATTGGGGATTCAGTTTGCAATAATGTCATTCACCATTCATTCAGGTTGTGTCATTCCATTGCAAGATGTATCCCTCCTCTAAATCCTTCCATCTTTCTCTGTCCTTGGCTATAATTTGAATAAAACTGGATCTATTAAGAAATTCACTAAGAAACTTTGTAAAATTATGAATATAATTACCAATAGATGAAATAATAGTGTGGAACTTAGGCAGTGGCGGACTATAAAAAAAAAAGGAGAAAAAAAAAATTATATTCAAAATTTAAGAGAATTTCCGGACATCTAGGTGCCATAATCATAAATTTCCTTACCTTAGCACCAACCATGTAGGAATGAGGTTATTTACAGATCCTACATCCATCAAAGTCCCTTCTGGCCACCCCCCCCCCCCCTTTTTTTTTGAATTTTTGGATCCACCACTTTTAGGAGTATTATTAGTGGTTTGAATTTTGTGTATCTTTGTTGGAAACCATAAGTATGCAGGACTTGGTGAAAAGTGATGTCATGACAATGTGGAACCTTAGGGAAATTGTCTCTCTGAATGGATAGTAGCAGAATTTTGTGGTGTTAAAGATCTTGTCCTTTGCATAATGTATTGCGATTATAGTACTTAGCAATATTTCTGATTGAGTGGTGGATTGCAGGCTATGTATTTTTACCACTTTGTGGATCTATTCTAGGTATACTAAGGATACGAGTGTATAATACATTATTGAATTGTGAAGAATTGTTGCAATATACATACTTAATTCTAATCACCAGACAAATTCCAATATTTACTATTAAATTGAGCATGGGATCATCTGCATCACGTAAACAAGGAAAAAACAGAAGCAAGGGGAACGTCTCACAAGGAAGCGAAGTGAATGTTGCGACAAGCGATAGAGAACACGAACAAGAAGAGGAGAGAAGACAGGAAGAAGTAGTTACCCCTGTAGAACATACATTAGAAGACAAACATAAAGAAGAAAGTATGTTTGAGGAAAAGGAATTGGATATGTCTGAATCTGAAGTAAAAGGCGATGTAGTTGCAAGTCAAACCAGTATGGAACCGAAGGATATAATGATCAGCTATAGTCACCAAGACAAGGACAAAATGAGGCTTTTAAAAGGTATGCTAAAGCTTGTTTATTTCTGGCATAAGTGTAATGGAATATTGTAATATATTTTTTTACTGGTATTGGTATGGGCATTTATATTGCGCATTTTCCTTGCGGTTATAAAGTGCACGCTAAATCTCATAGTTCAGGGAAAAACTCAAGGCAACATGTAAAGCCGGTTACTGACTGTGTGTGACTGCGACGCGACGGCAACGCGGCGAAAAACGTACGCAAAGACGCGGGCCCCACGGATTGTCTTTTTAATGAGGATCTGTTCAGATTGCCACTACTCAATGTGCACGACTGCGACGCGACAAAAAACGTACACGAAGATGCGGGCCCAACGGATTGTCTTTTTAATGAGGATCTGTTCAGATTGTCACTGACATTCAGCAGACGGCCTTGCGTCGCCTATCGCTCGACGGAAGCAAATGTGGATTCGTCGTATGACGGTCGTGTCCGGCTTAATACAGCATTAAACAGAAATCAAAAGCTCCACAACTGTAACATCTAAACAACGAAAGCATAGCACAACACATACGGTACTGTACAACAGACACAGCACTCAAAAAAAAAAAACCAATTGGAAGTACTAGCAAACAAGTGAGTCTTTAGTGCCCTTTTGAAAATATTGGGATCAGAAATGTCCCTAACTTCAGTTGGGAGATTATTGCAGAGTCTGGCAACACGACAAGAAAAAGAAAAACTTCCGATTCTCTTAGAATGATACGGAACAGTAAAATGTGCAGATGAAGCGAATCGAGTGGAATGTACTGGAACACGTAGGTCGAGAAAACTACATAAATAGGCATGAGAAAGACCACTGATACATTTGTGGACAAATAGAATTACCTTGAACATAATTCTGCAATTATCCGGCAGACAATGGAGTTTATTTATGATAGGAGCAGAGTGTGTGCTTTTTGAATAGACCACTATAGAGAGAGTTAGGGTGTGTTCGGGGCTAGTTTATTGTAAATCTAGAAACGGCCATTTTCAGTTCTCGCCCGAACGGGTGTTTAACGCGGACCGGCTGCAGATATCCACTGATAATCCAAAGCTGCAAATTGCAGTGTTTTGGAAGAGCAAAAGCAGCATGCGTTTTTATCACTTAATCCCTTTTTGATTGCTCTTCAATTGTTTTGGATGCACCCAGGGGCGGATCCAGAGATGTCCAAAAGGGGGGCTGAAAGGGGGGGCCGAAATTTGGGCCGATCGAGACAACAATGTACTAGGGGGTCATCATTTTTTTCTTTTTCTTTCTTTTTTCTTTTTTTACATCCTAAAGGGGGGGGGGGCAAATCCGGCAAATTCTTTTTCTTTCTTTTTTTCTTTCTTTTTTCTTTTTTTACATCCCAAAAGGGGGGGGGCCCCCCCAAATCCGCCCCTGGCACCAGAAGTAAAGTCTGTTTAAATTTTCCTACTTCCTGCTTCTTTTACAGTTCATCTCAATAAAATAAATGATTTTAACGGAGGGCTGGCCTATAATTTTTCAGTTTCAATTTTAGTTTTATTGTTTCACACAATGAACATAAAAAATGAACAAGATACAGTATGAGAACATATTATAATAATTCAATGGTTTTGATTCATTAACATTAAGATAACAATAATATTTAAAAATAGAATTTCATGGTTTAGATTTTATTGTGTGGAGGAAACAATAAGCCAGAAAGGCTTTAAGTCTGAGCCTCCAAAAAAACTTTCTGAATTAGTAAATGGCTAGTAATAAAATAAGTAATAAGAAAACAAACAAACAAATAATAATAACAAATAATAAAGGTAGTGAAATGTTTCTAAATATAACATGTAAAAATATATTGAGTAATAATCAGGATGAAAAGAATAAAATGAAGAGGATGGTATTTTTAATATTTATCCACTATTTAATAGAGGATAAATGAAAAACTAAAATGCATACATGAGGTTCCATCCTCCTTTACCAAAATTTGCCTCTTGCAACCAGGAGCCTGGTTCACGTCGAACTTTATCTAGATATACCCGTCTTAAAACATGATGCGATAATCCCCTAATTGCGTTTGATGACAAGTTAGAGCCAGATAAACAGCCAGCCAGTTTCAGGAAGTCGACGTCACACGGTGGAAAGGCTTGTTTAATAAAACATCTACTGTATTTTACGAACCTCTAGTACCAAGTGGTATTCGTTAAAAAAAATTGTAAACTACTGTAGAGAAGGTGTGAGTTTCCACTACCTTATAACCTAGCCGACCAGTACGAACTAACCGACAGTGCAGCAGCGTGTTCTATCGCAACCTAAGTAGTAGATTCTCTAGGCCCTAGCTAAATTTACCTTCGATAAAAAATGAATTATATTAATCGTTAGCTAGCATTCTTCCATTTAACAAAATATTGTTTTAATTCTCATTAAAACGTCTGTATACTTTATGGACCTTTCTCTCCTGTTTTGTAGTTTTTAGATCGTTCAATTGTGTTGTTTACGTGCACTTCGCGAAAATCTTGCTTCGCGGTGTCAAATTAGTTGCTGACTTCAACACACTTCTTTATTTCGTCATCGCAAACATGTGCGCTCATTTTTAATGACTGGTTGTTGGTGGTAGTTCGTTGAAACTGAATTAATAGTGACTATTATAGCGGAAATGGAAAATTGAATTGTCAATAAATAAATAAATAAATACAACAAATCTGATTTTATTATTAAGAATAATATACATTATTTAAAGTATCAAGAGAATATATAATAAATGTTTGGAGTGAGACCTGGGGGGTGGGTGTGCCCTGTGTATATTCTGGGCGCTTTCTTTTGTAATCGATGCAATAAGCAATGGATTTTAGTCATTTCAGAACTTGCCCAGGGGCACAATTACAAGTGGTTGTAGCCCATGCAATGTTTAATATACTGTAGGGTAAACTAAGTGTATTATATAGAGAAAAAAAAGATATTGAAAGGAAGTGTGTATTTTAATTTAGATAAAACTCAAACATTTCTAGAAACTATCTTTGTAACATTGGCAATATGACATTGCCAACTGAGTTTGCTACAATTATGATTCCAGAAATTTTGCGCTGGAAACCCTTTAAATTAATGGCCATCAATAAAGATATCATTTAATGAATTAAGTTAGTTTTGGATATATTGAGAGATAATTTATTGACTTTGAACTATAAAGATACATTTTTGAGTTCGTTATTAATTGTGGTTATAAGGGTATGTCTACAGTATTTTCATGTGAATAAATCATCTGCAAACAAAATAAATTGTAATAATTTTGAGACATTTGGGAGATCATTTTAACATAAATTTTTTTTAAATCAGAAGACCTAAAATACAACCCTGTGGGGTTATAGGTAACAAGTTAGAATTGAATGAATTAATAGAGGTAAATTATTGTCTATCTGTAAGATAATCTCTTATTAGTTGTAATGGAAGTCCTCTGACACCATAATTAGAATGCTCTCACTTTTATGTATACTTTATACAATCAATAAAGTGCGCCCTCTCTAATGAAATTGGTTTTTGTACTTCGCATCTCGCACACTGCGATCGATCGAGTAGGCCTGAAATATGTTTGTTTAATTGTCAAAATTTTAACAGATTTGAAATAATTCCTTGGAAATATTATATTTCACAAGTGTCAATACTAGCAACGGAAAATATCATGTCGGCCGTTTTTATGTGTGAACAGAACCTGAATCGAGGTAAGCCTAGGCCTAGCCTAGCAGTGTTGGATAGGCTAATGTTTTCGGCGCATACTATATTTCTTCGCAGACCTATCGCAAAATCAAACTTGAAAAATCCATCCGCATTTATATTTTGTGTCGACACAAAAAATCAAATTTCAGTCTTATTTCACATGTTTAGGAATGTCTAAATTCAGTTAAATTCAGCAATTTCGTATTATATTTATAAATCTTATAACATATATAAAAATCAGATTTTTCTTAACAACTGAAATCTTGCCGGGAATGGGGCTTTAAATGTATGTCATGCCCTATAAGAGAGTTGTTGTTCTTTGTTTTCATTTTGAATATGTACTGTAAAGGAAAGAAATGATCCAAACTGAAAACACTGAGGTCAAGGGAATTAGAATTGTTACTGGAAATTATCACCTATATACACCTATATTATACAGACTCAACATCAACCTTCCAGTGTTTGCTTTGTCCTATTATTTAGTTTTCAATTACAATATTTCATCATGTTATTGGGGCCTCTCCAAACAATACCAAAATTAACTCCAAGTGGTTCAAAACAAAATTCTTAGATTTATCCTTGGCAAAGGCCCAAGGTACATTCTATCTCCACAAGACTTTAAATATGTTGCATGCAGACCTTCTTCCTATTGACCGAAAGGTCCACTGATTAATCTCAGATAAGAAAGTATAATACATACTCCAAGTATTGAAATACACACCATCGTGTTGGGATTCAATATTTCGACATTAATTATGTCATCATCAGGAAACTCCAAGTGGTTTTCTTCCTATTGCTTTCTTGCAATCATGCTCTCCAAATCTTTAATGATATCTGCCCAACTTATCTTATTGAGGATTTCACTAAAGTATAAAATGTCCATAAATACTTTACTCAAGGAACTAGGCATGACTTTGTCGTACCTAAATTTAAACATTTACAATTCAGCTCTTTTCAACAATTGCATCTCCAATTGGAATGCTGTCCCAGTTTTCTTGAAGGAAATTCTATTTTGTACCTTTATGGTAAACACATATTTAAAACAGCATCTATTTAATGACCTGAAAGATTGATAAAGTCATGCCTGGTTCCTCCAAATTCAAATGTGAATGTTTTTTTGTTTGTTTTTTTTTTGTTCCTTTTTGCTTATAATGTAAATTTTATGCCTGGACCCCAATGGAAACTGTTTTGGATTGAGTCGTTCTGAATCCAGTCATTCTGAATCCAGTCATTTCTGTATTTCATTGTATTTTGTTGGATTCAAAATAAAAACAAACAAAGATTCTCAGTTTTCAGATCTACTACCACCTCTTCCCATTTCATATGTGTATTGGTTGTTCCTTCTTCCAAAATAGATTACTTTACATTTGCTTATATTAAAAGACAGTTGCCATTGACTTTACCAATCAAATAGAGCATTTATATCCTTTTGTAGTATTGCTGAATCATTTTGGTTGTTTAAAAAATTGTATTTTTTTTTAATCTAAACCGCGTGGTCAATTTTTGTTTTTTGTTTTTTGGAGGCTATTTACTGCACTTCAGGGAATTAAAAAAATTATACTCTATTAAGTATTAAATTAATAAGTTGTTTTTGATGTTGTTTGTATGTAGATGCTCTTGAGGCTGAAGGCATAACAGTGTGGGTTGATGAGGTTGGTCTTCAAGCTGGAGTAGAGTTCCTTAACAAGATTGGCCAGGCGATAGTAGATGCTAAGGTATTTTCCATTTATTTTTTATAAATACTGACTATTCATTGATCGATTCTAAAAATCAATATAAATTGAACTATGAATAAAAATGAATGAATAAATGCATCTCTATTCTATCCACTCCACAACACAATAGTACAACTTCAACAAAATCTACTTTACAAAATAATGTAATGTTTATTTATATATTCATATAATTTTGTATGTGGTCATAAAATATGATGGAAAATTTGATGAGTAATTTATTCCATCATTCTGACATTGTGTAGTGTTTGTTGGATTACAATCTCCTTGGATCAAGTGCAGCTTTAATGGGAAACCATTAAAATAAAAACATCCTTTTTTGCACTAGTTCAGTAGCAGGATGTGGATTGTTCATGTTCTATACTAGGTTTCCATGTAACAGTTCAAAAAAGTGTATACTGAAATATCACACAGATGGTTTAGTAACTCCATGTGATACTTAATTTATAACTCCATAAAAATTAACATTTTACCCATAAGTATGGGTAAAATGAGAAAATGTCCCCTCTAATTTAAATTTTGGACTCAGAACTATAATATTATTATTTCTATAATATTGTTATATCCACAGACCCTATTAAACTTATCAATATCTGTGTTAGTATAAACTGAATAATTAAAATTATTGAACATCAAAACACCAACCTTAATTTATTTTATTTTCTTGTCTGATTTTGTTTACAGTTATTCTTGTCAATATTAAGTTGTAAATCGGTAACGTCAAAGTATTGTCGTGATGAGCTTGCTTTGGCCTACGTATCCAGTAAACCGATCTTCCCCTGCACCATAGAATCCAGGGACAAAGTGACCAAAGGAATGGACTTTGGAATGTAAGTACAGCAGAACTGTACCAAAGAGTACAGAATTGCAAGAGGTCCAACTGCCCTGATTTTTAGAGTACCACAGTCGTGTCATCACAACACCAGGTGGCGCCCTCTGGATGTTGGTTACCGTTCAATTACGCCTGAATGACTTCATAACCTAAATGGTTTAGAATAGGCTTTCTAGAATAGGCATTTTAAAACCTAATAATTTACCATTAAAATGAACTGCAAAAACACAAAAAGCTTGCATTATATTAGTTATCAAACATGCATTTAATTAAGATACAACTTCTTAATAATTACTTTAGAAATTTGGATCAATGATTTGTCAGTGGGGAAAATGGCGTCAGTTGAACGCATTTTGTGTCGCCGATAGCAACGTACCGTAGTAGTATCATGTGGTATCATGACATAACACTAGAACACTATGCATGCAATGAAACGCTAAATTGAACATATTATATGGATATTTGGAGCTATAAATGTTTTTGTGATTGATTGATTGATTGATTGATTGATCGATCACAAGATAGGGGGCGACCTATTTACGAATGCGTTTTACGTTTTTTTAAAGGACGCCCTCTAGTTCATGATATTACTTTTGCGAGATAGGACTCGCGTTCCTACAAAACCCTGAGAGTCAGATGTCTTGCAGTTCTATACTCTTTGACTTTACTTTTGTGCGATATGATCTGTTTTACTCATCAATCAGTCTCTATATCCGGGTAGTGATTTAAACTGTTAAATATTAATATGGTTTATTGACATGTACATTATAATCCAGAGTTGATTTCCATATTATGATGAATGTGCCTATAATATTAATACTATGTAAAGCATGCTCAGAACTACCAGCAGGCTTATGATTAAAGTATTTATTTTGTAATTTTGATTATAAATTTTTTTCCAAAAGACCTGTCATACAAAGAATGAAACAAGCATACCAAAAAATCATTCAAAAATATACTAGCAAATTATATAAAATATATATGAAAAAGGCCAAAATAATGAGACTGAATATTCATTTGTTATAAAATTTTATTCTTGTTTAATAGAAAAAAGGGAAAAAAATAATTTGGAGAATTAACATGAAATTGTACCGTCCACTTTGATGTATTTTGTCTTAATCAAACGCGGCAGTTAATTTTTTATTTGTTTAATTAATGTGTTTTTGTTTTAAGGCGACTCCAGCTAGCCCCATTGAGGTGGTTTAGTTTCACTAATGATAAGCCGTTCGAGGCTGTTTTTAAAGAGCTTACAAAGGAAATTAAAAACAAAATTATAGAGTTAAATGATGGGCAAGAAAAGAAAGGTAAGTTTTTTCAAACTATATCAAGGTAATCTGATAATAATAATAATAAGAATATTAATTGATATTAATTATATGAATTTGACACATATTGCCTGTAGGCTCGTGATACAAAATTATAAAACAAAGGAGTAAGAAAAATACAATTTAGGAATGTACAAGTTTCACTACTAATTGATAAAGTAGAAAAAGAAATAAAAAGTCTTAGGAACTGAGAGAAACAGAGGCAAAACTGCAGTTTCTGAAATTTATAAAGTCAAAATTATCAACAAAATAAACTGGGCCGCCGGAAGCGCACTGGCTATGGCCGGACCACTTTTTCTCAATTCCATTACTTTCTGAAATAAATGATAATTATGAATTATATGAATATACGCATCGCTTTTTCAATCATTGTACGATGGACCTGAGATAGAGGGTACAGTATCTTGCCCACTTCCACTGACTTTTATAATTATAAAAAAAATAAAAAAACACTTCCATTGACTGAAGTGTTTCTATCATTTTTCTTTGTAAATGACGGGTAAACATTTTTGAAATACACTAATGTGAATAATTTTTATGTTACTTAAAAATGGGCAAGTTAATTTCAAAAATGATTCAGTGGCATTGGGTTGACTAAATTAATGTGTAATCGGTATAAGGCCTACCAGAAGCAAACACAGCATTTAACTTATTATTTTCTTTTTTATAATTCTTGTGATAAATAACTTATTAATGTTCCAGGCTGAACTTTGCAAGAAAATGTAATTAAATTGTACGAGCAGTATGTTCATAACATGTAGGCTGCAGGTCCATTTGTGTGGCTCAATAGTATCCTATGTTTTATTTATTGCATATTGTGTATATTTCGTAGCTGTATACCCTCCACATCGTGTAAATACAATTACAGTATGTTATAGTCATTTTTGGTTTATGTATTATATATGTATTCATGTTTCTTGCTCTTCTGGAGGAATAATCAACTCAATTTATCTACTTATGGCAATGATAAGAAATTAAAGTTTTAACAATATTATTTTCTACAGCTTTACCAGCTGCTACTTAATGGCATCCAGAGGTGCCATATTTCCAACATAGACTCTCATCCATGCTAACTTTATATATTGTGGCTGCCCCTTGAGGGGAAGGGATAGCGGCTCTATGTTGCCAGCATCTATTTCCGGACATTCATAGGCGCCAAACAAGTTGCTTACCAACCATGGTGGGGCTAGAGTTAAAATTATGCTCTCAGACCTCAACTAACTACAAAATCCTGTAGCTGTGGATAGAGATAGCGGGTCTCCACTTTTCATTTACTACCAAATTTGTCAAGTGCTCATACTACCTCCCCCCCCCCCCTTCACGACCCCCTCACTATAATGGCCGGACCACTTGGAAAAATGCTTCCGATGACTATGTTAAATCCGTCATTGTTCAATTAATCTTATAAGTTTACTTATATTCTTATATTTTCTTTGTCTTTCATTTTTAATTCTAAATTTATTTTATATGTTGCTTTTGTTTGATATACAGGTGTGTGATTTTTATTGGCCTGTTTGAATTTTTATCAATTACGTTAATTAATTTTCTAGGTTTTGTTTAGCATTGTTAAACATATTGTTTTTAATTGTGTTTCTTTATACGTCTACTTTTAATTTACCTCATTGTCTGTGAAAATTGTTAATTTGGATGCACCACTATTATTGTTGTGTGTGCCACCGATCTTAGGTGTTATTCCTAATAAATTGATTGATTGATTGATTGATTGATTGATTGATTGATACTGCACAATTTGAACTTAAGGGGTACATTTGTTTGCATGTTTCATTCATTACTTTTAAATTAATAAATATTGATTATATAAACTTGCATTTAGACGAACCAAAGAAAACCTCAAAACCTCAGTTGAAGAGGCTTCGATCGAAACTTAACATTCATCACCGACAGTTATCAGTTGAGGGAAAGTACAAGGATTTCTGGATGAAGTTCTACCCAAAGTTGGACTTTGTTACCTGGAAACAGTAAGTGATCATACTAGTTTAACATTCAATTTTTTTTTTAATTAAACACGTTTTTGAAAAAAAAATCCAGTCAATTTGTATATATTACCATATTCATGTTGATCTATAATATAGAAATTAAATTGATTTTTAAAAATATTTTGTTGTAGTAGTATAGACTTGCATTAATTGTGGAACTGTTAAATGTTCCTTTGAGTTTGATAATTCCATCTCTTTATCTTCATTACAATTATCTTGTCATTTAACTGCTTTGCAAATGGGCCTAGTTATATGTATGTTTCAATTATCTTGAATCTTTTAAACTGTATTATTTTTATTATCACTGTTAAGAACAAAGTTAGATAATAATATAGATTTTTTTCTGAATATAAATGATAGGTGATTCCCAATGGGAATAGGAGTTTACTTTCCTTTACCATCTACATATTGGAGTAAAATGGAATAAATAAATAATAAATAACCAGCTGTGGCCATACAACAGTGTTAAAACAGGCACAATACATTTTTCTCAAAAAAGTATTATCTTCCATATCTGATGGAGGAATTTCTCTATACCAAAGTTAATATTATGTGATTTTCTGTGTTTAATTCATTGCATATTTTGCAGTGCATTGAACTAACTGTTTATTAATGAGAAATGATGATAATGTACATGCTTGGTATAGCATCCTATGAATAACTCTCAGAGAGCAGTTTTTACATGATAAGAAAACGTAGTTACACATTTCTCCTTTTCATAGGTTTGTTGAAGATCTAAAAAGTGAATATGCCACAGAAATTGAACAGTGGTATAAAGAAGGTGATTTAGATTGGCTGATACAAGTATTGCATAGAGAGATGGATGAGGATGAAGATGAAATCATTCATAAAGATCATTATGAAGGTAAAATTGTAATCATTATATTTTGTTTTTATTAATACCATGGATTAACTTTCCTTTTGCATGTTTTCATGGATACAAGGTAATAATTTAGTGTTGAACCAAAAAAAAAAATCAGTATTTTCAATATGCTGTATATTTAAGATACTATCATTTAATTAAAAATTAAAACAAATAAATATCTTCCATTGTATTTATAATACTGTTTTTGTCTAATCATTTATTATATAATAATGTAATTTATTATTGTTAATGTTATTTATCACAGTTTAATTAGCCATTGTAAAGAAATTAAATAATTAACTTGCTTTATTTGTTTGTTTTTTTTATAGAATTCTGCACCGTAAGTGGAGAGAGACAAGAATTTTGGCAGCGAGTGCAAGAGCAAGCGTTGGAGAGCTACACGATGAGGGAGGTGTTCAGTATGAATTCTAGCGTACGGATTGATGCCATTCAGAACTTGGGTAAATACATTAATAACATTTTATGATTGATAGTTAAACACTTGAATTGGTTCAACAATATTAATTTGATCAACCAGGGAGTGAGCATATTGCACCCAGTGATAATCAAATTTAGAATGTCAAATGTTATTCACAAAATTTTTGTTTAAATGATAATGGTGTTAATAAATATAGTGTGCTAGATATGCAAATGTGAAAAATGCCAAACACTCTGGTTAATTCAATAAATACATATTTCTGAAAATAATATATATATATTCTCATAAATATACATATACATTAAATGGAACAGTCCAAATCTCAACATTCAGCTCAAAACACTTAAGCTTAAAACTTTTTAATTAGTATGTAAGGTGTTCCACACACATTGATTATGATTATAACTATCGTTCATTACCTTATTAATTATTTTGGCTTAACTCATTAATATTCATTTAATTTATTGTATATATACTCTCTTAGTTAAGAATGGTGAATTTCTTTTTCGTTTTTGCCTTTCTGTTTGTACTGATGATGGATTGGAAGAACACCCAAAACATGTATACCATTAAGTCTGTAGTTCTCTTAAAATGTGTTGTGTTTTTCATCAATTTGCATCCATTTGGTTTCATTATCAAGGACTTTAGTTTGAACGGCCTGCCTATTTGTTTGCTCAGGATGTACGAGAAGATATCCTTACATTTCATTAAAGCTGAATTGGATTTTACTCAATATTACTTTACTCTTTAAAGCAGTGACTTCATGTTTATATTTTCAGCAAAGTTTAACAGCTCATCTGTTATTGAATCTTTACTGGATCTTTGCGTTGATGTTGATGAGAATGTGAGAGCAGTTGCTGCGATATCATTGGCTAGAACTGGAGTTAGGGACAATGATCACGTCATCAATACCATCATGAAGCTACTGAAGGATCAGGATCGACTAGTGCGGGAAAGTGGTTGCCTGGCACTGGGGCACATCAAAGCCAAGAAAGCCATTCCCAAGCTGGTCGATATGTGGTAAGGACCACTTCCACATATGCTGCACAGGGGTGCAACTCTTTGTGTGCATGCCTTATAATTAAACCAGTTTTTTGGTATTATTACAAAATTTCAACAGACATGCATTATTGTATTTAGGTCTGAGTTAGTCCTTTATTATTCAAACGTACCAGGTATCCTAAACCAAGTTATCCATGTAAACCAAGTGAAAAAATATGTGGATTGACTGTCAGGTAACGTGTAACACAAATTCATATAAATATGATTATTCATCACTGAACATTAAATATCCGCATATGCAAGATAGATGTTAAAAATTGAGCTATTTTAATTTCTTAAATTTCTTTAATATCCTAAACCAATTTATCCATGTAAACCAAGTGAAAAAATATGTGGATTGACTGTCAGGTAACGTGTAACACAAATTCATATAAATATGATTATTCATCACTGAACATTAAATATCCGCATATGCAAGATAGATGTTAAAAATTGAGCTATTTTAATTTTTTTCAGGCGTAATGATGCTATCTCGAATGTGCGTGAGGCGGCTGCAATTGCTCTGGAACAGATAGGTGGTGATGAGGCT